CTGATACAAAATTTGATACACACCTTCAGGCGGAATAAGATTGGTTTAGTTTGCTGAGGCGGAAAGTATTTCCAGGCGAATAGGGTTGTTGCGTTTGCCCATCAGGTGGTAGAACGAACTATGTCGCACCTGTTGCGAGGAAGACTTTCAGAATGAGGTTCTTCCAATTTATATTCTGCCCTCCCACGCCTATATTCGAGAGGAAAAATATCATCGCAAAAAAGCAACAAAAACAAGTAATTTGAATATACTAAGTGGCATATAAATCCGAACACCCAGTTTAAATGGTTTTATTTTAATAAAATTTTGTATAAGTACTTAATGAAGCATAATAGGTTAATGACAAAAATTTCAAAATGATTGCACTGCTTTAAAGCCCTTTGACCTTTAATAATGTGTGGATGCACCCTGATGTGCTACGCATTCTCCAACGCGCCTAGGCATGCTTCTGATCAGGTGGTCAATGTCCTCCTGTGGTATCTCATTCCAGGCAACCACCAACTTCTCTCGAAGTGCTTCTACAGTCTGAGGAGGACGTTGCAAATTGAGCAATCTCCCACCCCTCATATCCCACACGTGCTCAATTGGGAATAAGTCGGGAGATTTTGGTGGCCATGGTAACAATGTGACATCATTATGTTGAAAGAAGTCTATTGCGACTCTTGCAACTTGTGGTCGGGCATTATCTTGTTGGAAAGTTGGATCTGCCAGGATTTCAAGATAGGGTAAAATATGGGGTTCTAGAACTTCGTGGATATAACGCTGCGCGTTCATGTTACCTCTGATAAAGATTAAAGGTGACCTGGAACCATAAGCTATAGCACCCCAAACCATAACTCCAACAGTGTGATGAACATGTCTTTCAACAAAAAACTGTGGATTCCTCCTTTCAACACGTCGCCTTCTAACCCTGGCACAACCATCGTGCATGCCTAAACAAAATCGAGACTCGTCACTAAAGACCATACTGTTCCATTCCTGATCCCAGAGTGACCGTTGTCTGCACCATTCAAGGCGATTACGTCGGTATTCTCAAGTTAAAGGGAGGACCCAGTGTGGCCGGTATGAAAACAAGCCAAAACTTCTCATTCGTCGGTAAACACTTCGCATGCCAATAGGTCTTCCGTGTTCTGCAAACCATTCATTTGCAATGGACCTGGTAGTGGAGAAACGGTCCCTTAAGGCCAATAATATTAGGCGGCGGTCTTCACGGTCTGTTGTTCTACGGCGGCGTCCAGTGCCCCTTACTCTTTGCGTACGGCCTTCTCGAAGCCATGCCTGACAACACCTAACCACAGTGTCTACACTTCTTTGCACTCTAACTGCAATTGCCCGAAATGAAAGTCCAGCTTCCCGAAGTCCCACTATACGGCCCCTATCAAACTCACTAAGTTGACGAAATCGTACAGGTCTCCGTACTCTAGGCATCGTAACCAATCGTAAAGGATGTCAAGAACCAAAATCCGCCAACGTTGATTCTTTACTGCGGCTGAAATATTCATTTTTAGAGCGTTAGTGAATTTAAAAAAAAGCAGTATAGAAACCGGAATGTCCAACTGATAAGGCTGAAAATTTGTTCACTTGTTATTTACAGTAAGATAAATACATTCACCAACTTTTATTAAAATAAAACCATTTAAACTGGGTGTTCGGATTTATATGTCACTTAGTATACTTAAGGTACGTGCCGAGGAGGGATCAGTATTGGATCGCTATTTGGTACTTGTGAGTCCTTCCATCTCACGATAGTTATTGCCTAAGAGAACAGTCCATCCATTAAGTATTGTCACAGCACATTGTCTGACAAAAAGGGCTACTGGAACCAGAATTCTGAGAGCAGGGGGGCAGTTGACGAAACTCAAACAGCGCATTTTTAAATCTCGCAATTGACATTTTTGTTTTAGAAATTTTCACTGTTCGAGAAACCGGCAAATAACAAAGTAGGAGTATCAGTTGCTTGAAAATACTCACTTTTTTCGTTATCGACTATCTTTCTTCCAGCTCCCACTTCAGAATCCAAAAACGTCGCAAAAATAAAATTCCAATGTAACTCTTCCTGTACATTTCATGTATATAATCTCCCATGTTTGTTCGGCCAATGAAACCACATATACATATTTTAAATTATTTTTTGATGTAGTGAGCGCCTACTACAATAATGAAGAATTTCAAATATATGTGGTTTCATTGGTCATACAGACATGGGGGATTAATAAAATTTCAGTGTCGCATGCACACTCCCCCAGTGCCGGAGTATCCTTTTCTCGTCAAGGTTCTTAAAGAAATGCGGGGTGATAAGTTTGGCTGCATCTTCGATACATGACTACTGATGAAAGGGTAAATAATATCTGACGATTTTCAAAAATTGTCGGCTTACTGCCATCATTTTGAAAATAAATAATTATCCTTATGATACAGAGATTCACTCAACAACGGCAAACACTTCATCTGTGACATTGTATTGTGAAAAAGCATTGGCCTTCTATGGATAAATAATATACGGAAAACTGCTGAAGTGAGTCTCCTTCAATAGGTTGGAGTGACCGATGGTCCAACTCTAAGAGAGTACATACAATGCCCCAAGACCTTGATATGACTGGTTGTCCTTCATTCAATAAAGGATACAGAAACACTAGCTATTCCAAAAGCTTGCTGCTGTGTTACCCGAAGGTTCACTCAGTACTTCTCTTGGATTGAGTGCTTCCCACTCTATTTTAAACCTTGACTGCCCACTGAAAATCATTTATTTCCAGCACTCCACTTAATTACTTTTAATTATCTATAAAGCACAAATTGTTCATTGGCAAGACCCTTCTAAAATCAGTTCATTGACCCCTTATTTTCTCTAGGTTCATTTCTCCCATTGAGGCAAGGTAGAGTGATTTGTGACACACGAAAATGTGAATCAACAACGTTTGACTGTCAGGAAGAGGCAGCAATCTGTCAAGCATTGTTGTGAAATTTTCGAGCGTCTGATTCGCTTCTCGGCCCCTCAATGGACGTAAACATCATGAGAAATTGCAAACTCCCCCTCTGGCCCCCTCATCAAATACCCAATTGTTAGCTAGGTCATTATGACCTAGCACCCAAAAAATTATTGCTTTATTTGTCTGGCAAACCCACAATACGAACGTTGATAATACGTCTGCAGTCTTACACTACGGAGTATAAATACAAGGCTGACTCTGGGCCATTGCCTTACAGAACTCCTAAGCATATACACTGGATGAATAAGATTTTGCTACCATACTTGTCATCATGCTCTTTCCAATATACAGGGTGTTTCAGTTTACTGTTGCATAACTTTAAGATTCGATAGAACTTTTAAAATTAATGCATAAAGTCTATATAAACATGGGTCGAAAAATGCGTGGCTTCCGAAATAAATTTACTTTCTAAAATAGTTTTTTTTTTAAATATTTCGAACAATATCTGATGTATAACTGTAAAAATTGGTATACAAGGGTTTTTTGGTACGACAAAACGAACCCTGGGCAGAGCTTTTTTATGTTGAAAAGTGCGAAGAATCAGTTTTTTTATTCAAAAAGCAAAAAATTGCACTAAGAAAAAAATTTCGGTCATTTTAATACACTACAGGTACAGTAGAGAGCGCCCTCTAGCTGCTACAGTAAAACTATGCCCATGGTTTGTTTTGTCGTACCAAAAAACCCTTGTATACCAATTTTCACTGTTATACATCAAATAATGCTCGAAATATTTAAAAAAAACTATTTTAGAAAGTAAATTTAAACACCCTGTATTTCGGAAGCCACGCATTTTTCGTCCCATGCTTATATAGACTCTATGCATTAATTTTAAAAGTACTATCGAATCTTAAAGTTATGCAACAATAAACTGAAACACCCTGTATGTAATGGCTATCAGTTTATCATGACTACTAACAAAACGTTCATATAAAAGATGTATGGTCTTGGCCAAGGGGAAACACTGGGCCAAATTGGTTGTAGTCCAAGTTATATTTTCGCATCTGATGGAAAAAGCATTTTGAATTGAATTTTTTGCATATTCTTATTCAAAAAGCACCTATGCATATATTTTGACTTGGCACCTCAACGATTGCTCAGCTAGTAACGTACCCTTATCCAGGCTAATGCTTAAAAACATATAGAGGCAGGTGGTTGCAGAACAACAGCCGATGGTTGCGAGATTCATATTTCAAACCCCATACGTACACATCAAGCATTTATGAAAACATGATTTATTTTACAATTTCGTATCCAGCCTGCGAAATCAACAAGAAACAGCCGCGGGTTGCAAGCGTATAACAAGTGCTATTCTCCCCACGTTTACAGCTCTGTATGTTTATCTGACGTGGCGCAATATAAATTTCCTTTCTGATATTACGTATGATTAAGTTCTTTTACGGAACGTATATCATTGCGCGAAAATGGGCCACGCATCGTACATCTGAGCTTTGGGCATACGAGGAATGTTTTTAATATTACCGGAAAACTGGTTATTTCATAACCTGCGGACCCGGCAGGTTTCTGGTTCTAATTTTAATTTGGTCGCTTCATACTACAAAGGGTCTCTCTGGTACGATTGTTCCTTTATTGCTTGTAATGGTTCGGGGTTGTGTGTGGTGATATGGTGAATGGGCAAAGACACTTGGAAACTATGTTAGAGTTGAGGGAGAGTTAGACACATAGTAGAGCTGAGTTAGAGTTGGTTGGGTAAGAGTAGAGATTAAGTACGTTTCGAGTTGGATTGGGTTATTACGTTGTGACATTATATAGGTTCTTCTACAAGATGTGCTGAATATCAAAGAAGAGGGCAATAAGAAGTATATTAATTCTAGCAGGTGAGAAAATACGGTACCTACTGGAATATATACGAAATGTAAATAAACTATTGCATTTCAAATTAATTTTCATTTCCAGTCTTTTGAATTTTATAGAAATTTATTTTACGATGTCAAGGAGAAAATAGAAATCAGCGCACACCCACCGCTGTTTATCGCCAGTAGTCTCTGTTCGAATTTGATCGTTCTTCATTGCTCACGTATCTATTGTGACGACAATATTTCAAAGTTTTTACAAGTTATTACGGATCGTGTACCAGTTTTTCAACATGGACGTTTCTGAGGCACGTATGTCAAACCTATTTTGTCAGTTTTAATTGTAATATTAGCTGATTTCGCGAAATATATGTTCCAATCATTTGATATTAATTAAACTCGAATAGTTTTGATGAATTTCTAGATGAATCCTGGTTATGATTTTGGTCTCATATTATATAATTGGATCTTGGCTAATCATATCGAGAGAAAATGTTTCCAACTTCGTCCAAATTTCAGTATAATCGCCAAATAAAGGATGAACGTTCGTTTAAGCCATTTCTTTTCTTTCTTTTTAGGGCCCTCTGGCGTCAAGCTCATTACTCGAAAAAAAATTTACGACATTATGAAAGGGTATACCAAGAACGACATTAACAAAAAAATGGACTATGCTGAATCTTTTCTGTTGAATTTTCAAAATTTTTCAGAAGAACAACGAAAAGAAGATATACACAAATTGTCAAATCTAAAATCAGAAATAAAACGCAGATGGATTGCCGCACATTACATAGAAGAACTTTTCCTTAAAAGAAATAATTGTTGGCTCCAAATGATATTTGAAATACCATAAACAAAATCACGACCGGGGCGCCCACAGAAACCTTTTAGTAATATTAGCGAGCGAAGTAAAAGACGAAAAACAGAAGCATTCCGTGGTGAAATAAGCTCTGAAGAGTTAACTTTTGCCACTCATTCGAAGTTACGTTGACTAGACTGATGCTTCAAAGGTGATAAAAGACTTAGGCCCAATTTCACCAACATTATGTTTCACAAATAATGTATTTTAAGTCCAAAAAACCATAAAAACTAGTAATGTTTATTGTTTGTCTTTTTGACTGGCGGAGATATCTATCTGTCACTCGCAGGGTTGTCAAGTCTAACGACGATCACGTCCCGTGGTGGAGGGTGCGAAATGAATCTTTTACATGCGCTGATTTTGAATTTTTTTCGTGAAAATTTATTAGGTATCATGATTATAAGCATCTTTGGTAGATTGTTTGATCCAGAATGGGAAAGATCTCCTATTTATGAAAATATTTTTGGTATCATCTAACCGTTGCAATCAGTACACAAAAACTGTGACATGATTTATAGCATAACCCGCTGCCCTAACAATACAAATTTAACATACCGGTCGCCTAGCCGTGGGGATGCAGTGGTCGCGATGTATATCACGGCAGGAACTGATGATTTGGGCATATCTGGTAACAACGTATGAAGTGAAACTCGCTAACTTCACAAATTTGAAGATTTTGTACAATTTCTTTGAAAATGATGAAGGATATGTCTGATTTGGCAGGGTAATGTCGCAGCCAAATGGCAGTCACTCTTACTGACACAGTCCGGATCGAAAGATGACGATACTCGTGAAATTTATTGACACTTCTAAATATAGGATCGTATCGAACATCCCTACTGTCAAGATGTATAAACCAAGGTACCAACGAAGCTATTTTGCGGCATCATGGAAATAATTTTAAATTTTCCTTTGCATTTTTTCAAGTGTTGTGCAACGATTTTGGAGAAAATGTCACGAATAGTCTTATAAAGCATAGTAGAGTACAACAGTTGGCGGAACTTACTCCACTGGGACCAGGAGGGTGAAACGGGATATTAATTCACAATCTGGCAACCCTGTCGCACCCTCACGAAATGGCCGCTGACCACACAAGATAACGTGTTGTCATTGAATAGCATGGAGTTAATCTTTCGGGGTATATATTTTGTGACTGGTACCAAGAGTTCACAGATCCCACACATGTGTCACTCCTTGAAATGCAATAATCAGCTCTATTCAAATAATGTCTAATATAAATATAGGTAACCTAGAATGTGTACCCGTGAAAAAAGAAAAATATGGCAAATTTGTAGTTTTTTTTGCAGGTTTTAGGTTTGCTGGTAGCTCTACGACATATATTTGGGTATTTCTTAATCGCTGTGAATATAGTGTGGATGTTTTTTCAGTTCCTGAACAACAAAAAATATTCAACTTTATGGATGTATGGATATTAAAAAACCTGAATGGTTTTGTGGGAATATCAAGCTAAGGTACCATAATGGTTCTGATGAACGGCAAGTAAATGCATGAATGTTTGGAAAGGAGCAATATCTTTTGGTAGAGCCTGTCATCAAGTAGGTGCTTAATGGCTATCTGCAAGAGGTTTATAGGAAAAAACAGCCAGTATCGCATATCGATTGAAAAAAATAATATAAACATGAATAAAAAATCAACAATAGTAAACATGAATTTTATTCAAAAATCCAACATTTCTTTAAATTTTGACTGAATTATATGTAATTTCTTAATATTCAATAAGCTGGTGATGTTTCAATGACAAGCTGTCATCTCATACTTTGACAGTATTTTGTTTTCAACATTTCATAGCTATTGGTTGCTAAAATTTGTTGATTGGAACTTGAAGCTCATTCGCTGTATCTGATGATCTGTTACCCTATAGGTGGAGATTAACGGACTGTTGTTGGTGAAATTGTCCCTAAGACTGTTTGAAGGAGTGCTTCATTTTGCGTACAAATTGCCAGTGAAGAAATGGCAATTTAAAAGTGAAAGAGATAGTTCACCAAAAGAAATTGAAGATACAAAAGGAATTTAGATCCCAAATGGGTCTCATAGTTGATGTTCCAAAAGCTGGTTTCGGAAACAGCAATTCTGGGAATACCAGTAGGAGATTTTTTACGGATCATGAGCTATAACAATAATCGGTATAGATTCCCGGCTCCTTTTTCGTCTTAAAGTAATTTTAGAAGCGATATCAAGCGGTCATAAAATAGACAAACAAAAATTTTAAACATTTTGTTTGGACACGGCACAAATGTACGTTAAATTATATTCGTGGCATCCAATGACATCAACTCTTCACAAAAAAAAAGGCCGTAGAGGCTCGCGAGAAACACTTTCGGTTATACCGTCAAAATTATGCTCGGCAATATAAATGAGACTTACGAGTACTCCCAGAAAAACGACAAAACCATTTCTCAACGAAACTTTAAAAATGCTCCTGCCTAAAGAACCGATAGACCAGTCAGATTTGTCTGGTGATAATGATGATGATGAAGACTCTGCACCAGACATAGGATACTATTTAGATGAGTCTTGCTTCTCATCTTCTTAATAACATTTTTTATATTTTTTAATAGATATTTTCACGTTCTTAACTATAAGCATTTTATTTATACTAAGTGACATATAAATCCGAACACCCAGTTTCAATGGTTTTATTTTAATAAAATTTGGTGAATGTATTTATCTTACTGTAAATAACAAGTGAAAAAATTTTCAGCCTTATCAGTTGGACATTCCGGTTTTTATACTGCTTTTTTTCAATTTACTAACGCTCTAAAAATGAATATTTCAGCCGCAGTAAAGAATCAACGTTGGCGGATTTTGGTTCTTGACATCCTTTACGATCGGTTACGATGCCTAGAGTACGGAGACCTGTACGATTTCGTCAACTTAGTGAGTTTGATAGGGGCCGTATAGTGGGACTTCGGGAAGCTGGACTTTCTTTGCTGGCAATTGCAGTTAGAGTGCAAAGAAGTGTAGACACTGTGGTTAGTGTTGTCAGGCATGGCTTCGAGAAGGCCGTACACAAAGAGCAAGGGGCACTGGACGCCGCCGTAGAACAACAGACCGTGAAGATCGCCGCCTAAGGTTATTGGCCTTAAGAGACCGTTTCTCCACTACCAGGTCCATTGCAAATGAATGGTTTGCAGATCACGGAAAACCTATTGGCATGCGAAGTGTTTACCGACGAATGAGACGTTTTGGCTTGTTTTCATACCGGCCACACTGGGTCCTCCCTTTAACTCGAGAACACCGACGTAATCGCCTTGAGTGGTGCAGACAACGGTCACTCTGGGATCAGGAATGGAACAGTATTGTCTTTAGTGACGAGTCTCGATTTTGTTTAGGCATGCACGATGGTCGTGCCAGGGTTAGAAGGCGACGTGGTGAAAGGAGGAATCCACTGTTTTTTGTTGAAAGACGTGTTCATCACACTGTTGGAGTTATGGTTTGGGGTGCTATAGCTTATGGTTCCAGGTCACCTTTAATCTTCATCAGAGGTAACATGAACGCGCAGCGTTATATCCACGAAGTTCTAGAACCCCATCTTTTACCCTATCTTGACACCCTGGCAGATCCAACTTCCCAACAAGATAATGCCCGACCACATGTTGCAAGAGTCACAATAGACTTCTTTCAACATAATGATGTCACATTGTTACCATGGCCACCAAGATCTCCCGGCTTATCCCCAATTGAGCACGTGTGGGATATGATGGGTAGGAGATTGCTCAATTTGCAACGTCCTCCTCAGACTCTAGAAGCACTTCGAGATGAGTTGGTGGTTGCCTGGAATGAGATACCACAGGAGGACATTGACCACCTGATCAGAAGCATGCCTAGGCGCGTTGGAGAATGCGTAGCACATCAGGGTGCATCCACACATTATTAAAGGTCAAAGGGCTTCAAAGCAGTGCAATCATTTTGAAATTTTTATCAGTTACTTATTATGCTTCATTAAGTACTTATACAAAATTTTATTAAAATAAAACTATTTAAACTGGGTGTTCGGATTTATATGTCACTTAGTATATTTACCTGCAATTCTGAGTAGCATTATTAAATATAACAGAGCTAATTACAGTTTTTGAAGTAACTTAAAATGAAACAAAGTTTTGTCCGAATTTTTGTATGTGATGCGTCATTCCTAATTGTTATGTGACGTGGCTTAATTACCTACAACGCGGGTGCGGTGCTGCCGGTAATGCATAACTTCGGCCATAACCTCTCTTCAGACAGGACAACATTTGTTAGTTTGCAAAAGATATAGAAATATCTTGAAGAATGATACAAATGGAAAAATTATTCCATCCATTGGCCTCTTAATATTCCTACTTGAAGTTTGTTTGTATGGTTTGTCTAGTTCTATTACAGACCTGTAACATGACGTGACACGACTGTATAACCATCACATTATCCGTTTTTTTCGTCCTTCTTTTAGTTCCGAGCGCGCTATAAGAAAACATCGCGTGAAATGAACCGTCCTAATTCCATTATCTAAAGAAGACACCCGAACAGATTTATGAATATCAGGGGCGAAGTTAATTTAGGTTGACGTTTTCGGACTCGCAAACTCCGAATCAGAATCAATCAAACAGAAACGCCTCGAAAAGTGACAGCTCCATAATTGGATCGCGACGCGAATGCTGGAAAATTAGTTTTTCATTGTTTGCTCGAGTTTTTGGCGCGCCGTGGACGCTCAGGTTACTTTTATTGGTGACTTTTCGGAGGCAATTGTTTGCGCTCGACTGTTTTGAATGGTAATGAAAGGTAGGGAGTTAGGGTTCCGAGGCTCGTAGGGAAACTCAGTCTTGCCGTCCGTGTTGATTCCGTTCTGTGTAAGGTGTCCGATCGATTACGCATGATTGATTCAGGGAATCAGTTTGTAACCCGAATATTTGATATACAGGGTGTTCCTTAATGACATGCGAATATTTAAGGGTGTGAATCTCGCTCAGGTTACTTTTATTGGTGACTTTTCGGAGGCA